TAAAAATAAAAAAATAATATTGCATACTCTTAATTTATATTTGTATTAAATTTTTTTGTGTTAATTGAGTGAAGCATAATAAAGAAATATGAAGATTTAATTAATTTGAAGGTCTAAATTTATTTATTAGATTTTTAGTTAATTTTTTATAATTAGTACGCACTTCACATAAAACTTTCAACTTCATTAAACTATATTTTGATTAAACAAGCAACTTGTCAAGCTTGTTCACGAGTTTGTTCACGAGCTTGTTCACGATCATTAATGAGTTGAGCAATGTGTTCAATTTTGTTCATTTAATAATCGAGTAGTTTAAAAAGTTTTAAGCTTGTTCGATTATTTAATTAAACAAATGTAAACATGCTCTAGTTGAGCTTAACCACGAGTAGCTTGTTGAACACTTAGTTCGTTTCCAACCCTAACAGTGAAGGTGATATAATCCATTTATTTGGCTCATAAACAATCCTTACATGTGGTTTTTTAAGTAGGTTTGAGACTAGGAGCGGAGGCACAAACTACTAACTTAAAAATTATCTTCAATATTTTTGACAAATTTAGATAAAGTTAATTTTATACTTTAGAAATTTCAATGAAAAAAAAATGCATAAATATAATATAGATTTTAATTTATTAATTTATTTTATAATCTCTACAAAATTATTAAATTTGATGATTAAACTCTTTATTAATTTATTTTGCAAAATTTAAAAACAGCATCCAGACTAATTCTTCTCCTGTAATAGTTTCAAATAATATTGGTCCATCATATAGAAAATAACATTAAATATTTCATGATAAAGTACAATTTATTTCTTAAGTTTATTATTTTATAATGTTTTTATGTTGAATATATTCATAAATTTATATTATTTTCTTTAAATTTTTATGGAGATAGGGTTGCAAATGAACCAATGCACTCGATGTATAACTTAAACTCGACTCGATTAAAACTCAATCATGTTTGTTTAAATTAGTAAATACACAAGCTTGAATATTTTTTAAATGCTCAAGGGTTAATGAACTAAACATGAATATAATCAATCTTGTTCATATATATTCTCGAACAAATTCGTTTGTTATTCAATAAATAATTTGTTAAATATTTGATATTAATCTCTTTGATAACTTGTATAATATATGATATATTATTTGAATAAATTTCGATTAGCTAAAATTTATTTAATTATATGTTTAATATTAATATATTATTATATCAATTAATGATAGGTTTTGCAGTATGAGTTATTTGATAATACAAGTTCTTTAGTTTTTTTTGCTCTTATTTCCATGTTTCTTCTCTATCTTAGAATATATTCTTGTGAAAATATTTATTATAGACATTAAATGAGATCAAGCGGGTAAGTTCATTTTCTATGTTATTTATTAAATTGTGCATTTATTTAGAATTCTATAATTATTTATTGAAAATTTTATATGAAAATTTTGATAATTGTTTAAATTTTTATCTTGTTTAAATATTCATTCACTTGTCATAAACAAATCAAGTTGAAATATTGAAAAAAAAACTAAATAAGTCAAGTTTGAACAACATGGGAAAGCTTGATACAAGTTTAAGCGGAACATAAACAACTTTTAATTATACTAAGCAAAATCCAATCTTTGGTATAATACTCGGCTCGATTACAACCCTGCATGTAAATAATGTTAGGTGAATCTTCTATTTTTTTCCCACATACACGCACCCAAACGCACGTATCCGTATATGCAAGATCTTGAATCCAAGACCTCCTAGTTGAAAGACAAAACTCTCAACCATTAGGCCAAGGTGGCTTGCATAAAGGACAATTTTTTATGTTGATTATATGTAAAGCATAAATATATTATTGTTTTGATGTTTTAATATAAAGTTTGTAATAGTTATCTTTAATGTTTATATATTATCCATAAGTTAAGATGACATTATATAAATATAATAGAATTACATGTTTTAATATTCATTTATTTTTTATATACTTAATACTACTTGTTGCGTTCTAGTTAATTTAAAGAGATAGATTGATATATTAACGTCTTAGTTTTGCATGATGATCCATCACAAACATAGGTAAAGAGAAAATGACAAAGAAGAAAACACGAGTTTTTATGTGGAAAACTTGAAAGAGAAAACAAAATCTCTGGGCCTAACCCAATTGAAACAATTCCACTATCTTGTTGTATGTTAGAAGACTTTGCCAACTTTTAAGTAAGTAAAAGCTATATTACATAAGTGGGACATGTCTTTCGCTAGGTAAGTGGTAGAAAAGACCGAGGATGTGGCAGCGACCTAGTTGTTGTGAAGAAAACTAATGATAATGGTCGTATGCCAAGAAATCTGATGTTCATATCTTTGGTAGCATCAATGATAGTGGTGGCGACGGTCGGGGAGTGATGGTCCTGTTGCGACAATCAGACTTTAATGTTTTGGTGGTGGTGGAACTTGGCAACAACATTCAGGTGTGTTGGAGCTCGACGATAATGGTTCGGTGGCAGAGGAGCTTGATGACAGTTGTTCGACAATGGCAGAGTTTGACGATGGCAGTCTGACAGTGGTGGAGCTCTATGATGGCAGTCTGACGGTGGTGGAAATCGGGAAACCTCAGGAGCTCGGATCTTCCCTCAACTTTCTCTTCTAGGTCTAGGTCCAGACCCCAAGGAAAGAAGTTGGGTCTATTTATAGATTTTGTGAATGACATCATCTGTAAATACTACATGAATTCAAACCACAACATGGAACGTCATAGAGTGAACCTTTTGATCAAATGTTGTTAAAGAAGCATTTAGGCGTGTTAATGATGTAAGAATTGAGTGATCTTAGGTTTGTTAGATTTGACTCTATGAGCCGCTTGATTTTACTATAAGCTTGTTAGATTTAGAATTCATTTGACCATTCAATTGCTTACTAAAGCCTCCAATTATGCTTAAATGACTTGATCTGGGCTTGATTAGACCTAGATGGAACTAATTTTGGCTTCAATTGGCTCACCTTGTTGTAACGGTCAGTTTGACTATAAGCTTGCTTGAATTGGGGCCCTCGATGGTTATGAATTTAAATGTAAAATGTTTATTGTTTGAAATGCTTCAAGATTCATGCATGATTAAAATAATTTTTTAGAGGATCTTCTACTAATGAAAATTTAATTTAAATATTAGAAATTTATACTTATAAGAATAAAAATTGTTGGTATTTATGCTCTAAATATCATTTTCTTAATTTTTATTCATAATTCTAAAGTTTCTCTTTTATATATACATTAAAATTTGATATTTAACTTAATTTTCTTTTTATTTTATAAATTTGAATTAAAATCAAATGTTTTCTAAAAAATTTTGAAATATTACCCAACCATTTGGCGGCAAGCAGGATTTAATATAAGTAGGATTTGGTAAGGTCATTGGTATGTAATTGAAATTTAGGTGTTAGATATATAAATACATAGGAATTAAATGGTATGTATGTAAATCTTCCATCATTTTAACCCTTCACTGTTGCGATTAGAGCTACCTGAGAAGGCAATGACAGGATCACGATGTACGTGGTCTCCAATATTTTATCTTTCTTCTCACCCTTCACTCCTACTTGAAACCATCGAGGAAGGTAACACTGTTATTTCTTCCCCTTCCATCCGCCTTCACGTGCTTTAGCTTATCTAATTGCATAGATCCGTTGTCCAATGGGATTTACTAAATCCGGGATTTGAGGGAAAAATAAAGAAAAAATGAGATTTGAGAAACAGTAGGATTTAAAGATGTCATTTTTTCAGTTTAGCTGGATTTAGGCTAAATCTTGCTTAAATTGTGCCCAAATCCTGCTACCAAATCACCCCTTGGACAAGAAGCAATTGAAGCTGTGAGGCTGCCGGAGCTGCCTCATGGTCCCACTGTACAGTGTCCGAGACCAACCTTTAAATCCGTTTATCCAAGGCTAAGGGTCAACTCACTGTTGGATCTTGTTTATTGGCTTAAGGCCAACCATCAGTACATTCTCCAGGGCTGAATGTCAACTTAATAAATTGAAATATCCCAAAAAACTAAGCTTGATCTCTCTAGGATAATATCTACAAATGGAAATAAAAAAAAAGAATATTATACGGGAACACTAATACGCAGGTATTAAAGCCAAACTGAGAAACTAACACAAAAGGTTCCTTGGACTCTTTGACTTGATTCACCCGTCATAGGTCGCCTGAAGTTACATCAGAGCACATGAGCTATTTTATGATGATAAACCCAATTGAACACACTAGTCAGCACTGCACAATGAATGTACTTGAGGCCATGGAAATTTTGCATCTCATAAGAAGCTTACTAATAAACTTGAAAATTAAGAGATCAGTTCAAATACACATGAGATAATTGTATAATCAAAATCAACATAAGTCATCATAGATTCAACAGGATTCAAAATGGATATTGTGCATATCTACAGCCTGCTCCTCCCAAGTTTAGATAAAAAATTACAATCGAAGGTTTGGATAAATTTATTCATCTCTTATTTCATTTTGATTTTAAGAAAGTTGCAAGATTGCTTGCACTACATACGAAGGTTTGGTCCTTTATCATTCCATTTTGCATGCTCACTTCCTTTGTATATGTTCATTAGAAACTTTATTGATTTCACAGACTAGGCTTTTGTTGTTACACAAATTTGAGTATGTTAAATGGCATTGCAAATACAAATAAGGTTCGAAATCTTCTCAATAGGTTTTAAACTTTTGATAATTCAATCTTGTTGCCAAGGCTTCTTGATATTTTTGCTGCAGTTGAGTTTACCTACTGATAATATGTTCTGTATTATTTGGTAAATAACACATCCATTATAACTCCTTTATAAATTTTTTATTTAGGTGTTTATTTAGGAAAATTCTAATTGTTTGAAAAGGTGCACTTTTTTCTTCACCAAAATTCTTGAGAGGATGATGCTATGCATTGATTTTGTGACATTGTTTCTTTGAGTTTGTTTCTTTAAATTCTTATTTGTCTTCTTCATCCTCTTGCCTCAGGTATTGGCAATTGTCTGTGGTGTTATACCATTTTTAAAGACTCTAATCCTGAAAGATGATGCACCATTCTTTTTTTTCACTGACAGCTGCCTACTCCTAGGGTATGGTGCAAACCCATTCCTTACTTTTTTCTGCACTTTTAACATTTACTTTTTTTTCTCATGCTCTAGTAGTTTACATTCATATCGTTCCTATCTAGTCCTAAGTTTTGTGTGAAGAAAAATGAGATCTTGTTATAAGCCACAAATGATGCAATATTTTTATTAAGCCACAATTCTACATGATGTAGAGTACCAAAGTAATTTGAATTTGTCCTGTGAATTACACCCAGGAAATAGAGCGTAGAAGTGAAGAGAAAGAGAGAGAATGCTCGGTAACGAGTGGACTCTTTGATAACTGATTGATTAGCCTTTACTGTAGAAATGTCCCCCTATTTATAGAAGGGGGAGGTACTGTGTGCGTAATTACATGTTTACCCTAGCTTTAACAAGGGCATTATAGGGTATTTTGGTCATTTAAATTTACTCGATCAGTTGGCTAAAATCGGTAGTCCATGTATTGAAAAGGCTCGTTCGACTGACTCTACTTAGTTCGGGCAGCCAATCGGCTCTGGTTGACCTTCTGTTGTCCGAACTTTGCTTGGTCAGCAGATTTGCTCTGACGTTGACTGTCGACCTTTAGATGAGGGGTCCCTGCACAATGATGAGACTAGGATGTTGGGTACATGGTGAATCACTGTAATTCGACAAACAACGAATTTCTTGCCAGAGGGTCCCTTTGGGGTGTTCGCAAAGTGCTTCGTGGTGAGAACCTTCAGGCTCTTGAAGAGTTTTGGAGGCTTTTGTGAGGTAGCTGTTGATGCTAGGGCGAGATTTGGGTTGATGCCTTCTTCGATTCATTATATTTTGTGTTTTGGCTCGGATGGTCTTCGTTTGGCCGATTTCGGGTCCCGACCTATGGGAGCTATACTTGATTAATCAAGTCTTTAAACTTCTAGTGATGTGATCCTTGGTTTTCTGTCTGTGGGCCACTCTTGATGACACTATTATCTCCTAGTCTGTTGAATTTTCTCGAGATTCATGTTGACACATTATGATGTACATATTTAGTTTCCGGATTATCTTATTAGGTGGGCAAAAAAGAATAGAGTTTATAGCTTCAAGTCCTACCCAAGTCAAATCAAGCAACTTTTTCGTTCTCAAGTTTATTCTCTTACTCACAGTGAGTTTGAAAAACCTACTACTGTTGATGGTGATAGGGAATGATGAGTTTGACATTTTTCAGATATAAGTGTGTTCCTAGCATATTATTTTAGATATATGGTTATTTTTATTTTGTTGACAAGGGAAGTATTGTTGAGCTGCCTTATATCAGGTTTAGATGGTCCAGTCGGCTTAGCCCCTTAGGGAGCTCTACGTCCTGGACGTGAAATTTTCATAACAGAAGTGTTGACTGAAATGGGTAAGTTAGAATTCAAACTTGTCAAATATTCCATAAATTTGTAGATGCTTTAGAAAAACAACAATAGAAGAAAAAAATCTTCTTCAGAAACCGGTCCAAAGAATTATCTCTTTATCACATGCTAGACTAACATTGCCCTGTTTGTTGCTGCTGTGAGTCAGTTTATACACAATCCTAAAAAACAAAACCTTGGAGTGGTATATGAAATTCTGTAAAATTTGAAAGGAAATTTGGATAAATGAATTCTGTTCAAAGAGAGGGAGGATCTGATTTCTTAAGCATACATAGATACAGACTATGCAGCTTCTATAATTCACAGAAGGTCAATTTTATGGTATCGCTCTTTCTTAGAAGGCAAACTTGTGATTTGGGGTGAAAAGCAAAGTGTGCTATTAAAATCGTGAGCAAAAGCTAAATTTAGATATTTGACACTAGGAATCTAAGAATTACTATAGCTATATATATATATTATATATATATATACAAGTCAATTATCATTACTGTTTGCAATCTCATGCAACATAAGTACTAAACACACTGAAATTGATAGATACTTGCTAAACTAAAAGCTTGACATTGGTTTAATTTTTACTCCATTTATAATCATAAGAAAACAATTTACAGACATTCTGACCAATAGATTATCAAAGCCAGTATTCTATAGATGGCTGACATTCATTTGTTTGAGGAGTGAATTTCTTGCATAATTTCTACCTGCTGAGACAGTCACCAAGATTTTGGCCTTTTTCTTGTTTGTGTCGGTCACCAACTTATTAATCTGTGAAATTCCTATTGGCTGCTCATCAATCCATTTACTATAGAAAAACCAAATCTTTTCTATTCTTGTCGGTGAGTACCTATACCATCACTCAAACAAATTTAGATTTGGTGACTCCTATATCATCTTTTGGTTTTTCACTTCCATAAAGCTAAGTCCACTTACAATCTCGTGCAATCACACATCTGGAGTCAAAACCTTGAGTCTAACTTCGACATTACAACTATACTATGTGATTTGAATGGTGACTTAAACCCTGTCCTTCTTCTAGAGGCCTGATTCAGGACAGGATAGTTGATTTGACCTTAAAGAACAAATTATTCAGAAAATCTATTATGTACATTCATAACACAGGTTTAAATATGGTATTACAATGTCTTACAAATGAACTCTTAGACTTGTTCAATAATCCCTTTTTACCGAAAGGACTCTAAATAATATCTAATTCTTAACACTTCCCCTCAAAATAAGCAAAAGATATCCACTAAGCCCATCTTGTCACATAACCTAGACAAAAGACAAATCTAATGCATAACCTAGACAAATCTAATGAACTAAGTCCTTTAGTGAGGTAGTCAGCCACTTGCTCTCTAGTGGCTACATTACTTGGCTCCAGTAGCCTGTTATTCAGCTTTTTCTTGATGAAAAATCTATCAATCTTCACATGTTTGGTTCTATCGTGTTGCACCAGGTTCTTGGCAATGTTGATTGCTTACTTGTTGTCACATGACAACTTCATTTGAGTTTCTTGGTCCACCTTGAGCTTGATCAACAAAGCTCTCAGCCACATCATTTTGGCAACTTTTGAGGCCATGGCCTTATACTTTGCCTCTTCTACTACATACCATTTCTTGTTATTCCAAGAGACCAAGTTGCTCCTTACGAACATGCAGTATCTTGAGGTGGATCTTTTGCATCTGCACAACTCACCAAGCCAGCGTCATAATTCTTTAATGTCTACCTGCCCATTCTTCTTGAAGATCAACTCCATCCCTAGTGCACTTTTCAGGCACCTCAAAATCTTCAATAAAATTCATCCATACGACCCTTCTTTGGATCATGCATGTAGTGGCTCACCACACTCACTACAAAAGAGATATCGGGTCAAGTGTAACAAAAATAAAATCAGACCGCCTACCATTCTCTGATACCTCTTATGATCAACCGATTCTCCTGCTTCTACACCCAGCTTGGTCTTCTAGTCAATTAGAGAGACTGCAGATTTGCACCCAACGTGTCAGTTTCCGCGAGGAGATCTAGTATTTACTTTCTCTGGGACAAGACCATCCTCTCAAATCCACGAGTCACCTCAATCTTAAGAATGCATCTGAGCTATCCAAGAACATTCACCTCAAATTCATGCTCAATCTTATCTTTAGTTTGGTAATCTCTGCTTCATCATCACCGTTGACAATGATGTCATCATACACAACAAGTATAGTGGTATGACTTCATGTTGTCGAAAGTGTGGTCTGCATTGATTTTCTAATATCTCATGTCCATCATAGCCTTTCTAAACTTGTCATACGAGGCTCAAGAAAACCGCTTCAATCCATATAATGACTTACTGAGCCACACATCTTGCCTGCTGTCTAGATTGTAATGAATTCTAGTGGTATCTCCATACATATCTCCTCCAATAATTCATCATGAAGAAACAGATTTTTCAGATTAAGTTGGTGTAAACTTCGCCACCATTCACTGCTAGAGAAACCAATGTCATCATTGTCTTTGTTACTGATGCAAATATTTCATCATAGTCAATGTTATATGTTTGCTCGTACCTTTTCGCCACTGGTCTTGTTTTGTGCATCTCTACCTTCTCTTATGAAGTTTGTTTCGCTGTGAAGATCCACTTGCACCAAACATCATTTTTTCCCGTTAGTAGTGGCAATATCTCCCATCTTTTGTTTTTGTTGAGAGCCCTAAGCTCGTCATGCATAGTTGTTGGGATCCTCCTTAGCAACCTGCCAACACCTGGGCATAAACATAGTGTCCAAAGATGCAATGATTCTTCCATGTAAATGTGATATGTTAGAATATGAAACAAAATTAGAAATATCATGTTCCCACCCAAAATGTTTAGAAGGATGTTCCGCATTATTGCAAGAGATTCTTTTTAAAGTTGGGGGTTAGCAGAAGATGGAGGAGGAATTATATCATTTGGGAGTTCTGAGTAAGAGGTGGATGATGCAGGTGTCTCAAGAGTCGGGGAAGATAGGAACAAGGGACTAACTGGCACTGCAAACACCTTTCCTCATTTTTCTTCCTTCTCCATGTATACACCCTTAGCTCAGCTTCAGCCTGAATCCCACAATCTCTCAGTTTACTATCGTCATTTTTCGTTTCCTCAACTAATTCATCCCATATTACAGAATAAGACATTGCTCCCACATGCACCACTATCTCACTAATGCTACTCACCTTTACTTGCCTCATATCTACAGTATCTAGTGAGTCACTGAAGGGTGAGGTCACTTTCTCGGCGTAGTACAGTTCAAATTCTCTAAATAACGAATCCATGCTCGCAAACAGTTTCTTCTCTATCGGGCTCTAGTAGACATAAGCCTTCTGGGTAGAAGAATAACCTACGAACACACATTTCACGAATTTGTGATCCAAATTCCCTATTGATGGCTTGTTATCCTTTATAAAACATACACATTCAAACATCTTTAATGGGAGGATCGCGCTATTATTTCCTTTCAACATCTTACTAGAATGCTTTCAATCCAACATCCTGAAGGGTATTCTATTGATCAATTAATCAACTGTCAAAATTGCTTGAACCCATAACTACTTTGGGACATTCATTGCTATCATCATGTTTTGGGCTATCTCTAGAAGCCATTTATTTTTCTCTTTGCTACTCGATTTTGTGTCGGTATGTTTGTACATGTGATTTGATGCTGTATCTCTTGGGCTGGCAAATATTCCCCAAATATTTTGTCAGTATATTTTGTATCATTATCAAATCTCAATATTTTCACGACTGCACTATATTGAGTCTGGATTGTCTTGTGGAAGTCTTTAAAGCAAGCAAACACGTCACCTTTTTTTTTCATTAAACATGACCAACTAACACGAGAAAAGAAATCAATAAAGGTCACAAAATATCAATAACCCTTATAGAACTTGTTTAACAATGTCCCCTAACATCAGAATGTATCAAGTCAAAAACCCTAGAACTCTTATTCTCATAACTCATAAAAGAGCTTCTAGTAACCTTTGCTAAACTCACAAACATCAAAAACAAGTTTTTATTTATTTGTATTTTCATACAATGAAGGATACAACTGACTCAATAAATTAAAACAAGAGTGTTTCATGTGTCTGTGATATAACAACATCACATCTTTCACACATCCCCAATTCTGTTACTCCAACAGTTTACTATGGATGTCAAAGTTGAGTCCATTCTGTCGCGGTGAAAGTACTAGAGTCCACCATGCCACATTCCAGTTTCAAGTGTCTGGCCTGTTCTTTTCTCTTGGAAGACCACCTTAAAAATATCAAATTAAACAAAACATTTTATTTGGAGAATAATGTCACTAATGGATAAAATGTTCATTAGAAAAGAAAGAGCATGCAAAACATTGAACAAAGTCATATAATTGGTATTTCTCACTGTGCTCTTACCAAGTATAGGCTGTGTTGTACCTCAATGATTTGGATGCTCTCTAGTACTACTAGGGGAGTATAGGAAGAAAACTCTCTAACGGTACCTATCAAATGCCAAGATGCACCAGATTCTACTATTCATTTTGATGATTATGTGATGGAAATAGAGACAAGAGCATGTGTATCACAAATACATGGCCAACTAACACGAGTGATTTGATCGCCATTATGGAATCTAGTTCAACTGATTGCTTTTGCTAGAATGTGAACTAGAATGGTTCCCTTTTTTTTAATAATTTTGGTAATAATCATAGATAAAGCAAATGCAAGGTTAAGTAGATGGTATTTAGTCTAATTGTTTATGATTTAATTAAAATAGTATATTTAGCGCAATTAACTATAGTAATTATATTTATTGAGGGAAATAGTCAATTAATTAATTTTCCATTGTTTTCTGGCATGGAGTTTGGTTGATAATTAGGATATTAAATTTACCATATTAATTTAATTAACTTGTTATTTATTAAGCGAATAATGATAATGCATTAAAACTAGTCAATTTTCATTATGTTGTAGATTACTTAGATTAATAAATAATTAATTATGCTAATTATTAATTAATTAGTAAGATAATGAATAATTCTATTCAGCCAATCAGTTTAAAAATTAGTTACTCGAATCAAGCTTGTATTAATTGATGATAATGTTATGAAGTTGTCCTGATTAATTATTCTTTTTAAATGTGAGTTTGAGAGGAGTTATTAGTTCAAGCAAAACAAATAGACACCTGTAACTAACTTTTAAAACTCAGTGCCGGCTACTTCAAGCATCTTTTGTAAAAATAAACAAGCCTATAGTTTTTTATGCTATTTAATAAAAATTTAAGCGTTGAAAAGCAAGTCTACGTTAATATTTATTATGGTCAATTCTAAATGATGACAAATTTCATTGTTTCCAACTACTTAATTGTATGTTGTTTTAATTTCAGGGAAGCCATGATACCTTGCATTTTACTTGCTTTGGGTGGTAATCTTGTTGATGGTATGTGAAGGCCTTTCCTCAAATATTATTATTATTATTATTACTACTAACACTACCACTGCTACTATTTCTCCTGTTAGTGTGTTATGCACTTCTTGTTTCACATTTCAGTGCACAATCATGGTTAATGCTAACCGTTTAGTTTTTATACAATTATTTACGAGGATGGCGAGACCGGCTTTGTGCTTTGCGCTTCAACTTTTGGGAAGCCAAAATCCTGGTGTTTTAACTTAAACAAATATTAACAAGGTTGAGAAGAATTAAAAAAGAAAAAAAAAATAATCAACTAAATGAAGAGAGAAGAATTTTTTTTAAAAAAAGAGAGCCAATGAACCAATTTTGTAGTCTAGGTTATCAGGAACTCTTATTATGTTTATTAATTACCAGTTACGTGGGCTTTTGTCACCAATATCTGCAAATTCTTGTAATTATTGTCTAAGTAGGCATATAACTTTTTAGACTAACTGTAAGAAACAGTCTGCAATTATATTTAGGGTAATTTACATTCATAGCACACATTTCTTATGTATTTACATATCTCACACCTAAATTTCATATTTACATATATAGCACTTTAGTGTATTTCACTTTTAAAAAAGGAGAATAGTGCCATCTTTTTTGGATAATAAAGATATGATACTGTGTGTGTAAATGTGAAAGTTTAGGTGTGAGATATGTAAATACATAAGAATTGTGAGCTATTTATTTAAATGCTCCTATTTAAATAATTTTTTTTTCCTTGGCAGATTTCCAGTCTGCTTTTGTGTTCATTTCTACTTAATGTTCTGTCTGTCACAACCAGGCGAATCTTCTGCAATATCCGTTGCAGCTAGCTCCATTTTTACTTTTGTGTTGTGGTTTTATTAATGTAATTCTAATACTTCAAACTAAGCATTATGTATAAAATTTCTACAATGTCATGTTCATGAACTTCATTCTTTTTATTGTCTTGTTTGTTTTAGAATTGGTAAATTTACATACATACCATGCAATATTTTTGTGTTTACTTATCTAACACCCAAAATTTGTTATTTACACTTAAAGCACTTTGTTGTCATACACCTCTGCATAAAAATATGTATTTCACGGTTAAAAAGATAGTGATGGTGGTATTTTTGATGTGATGTTAAAAATTTGAGTGATATGCATGTAAATATGAATATTTAGGTGTTATATAAGTAAATACATAAGAATTGTGTGGTATGTATGTAAATGCCCCTTCTAGAATGTCACTGGCCTACCACCACCTGTTCAAGGATGCATGCTATTTAGGAAACTCAAATTCTATAATTCAAGCTTTGGTGTGAAAGTGCTATTTTGAGTAGTCATAGAAGGTCGAGGGATGCATTACTAAATAGCTGTTTCTATCATTCTTAAATAATCTATTGACAACAGCCATGCACTTAGTGGTTGGGAACGAATCGAAGAATTATTCCATTCAATACATAACAAGGGCATTTACATTCATAGAACCCAATTCCTATGAATTACATATCTAACATCTAAACTTTATTTTTTTTACCCAAATATTTCATATCACATAAATAAACCACTATTGTAACATTTAAAAGTCGAGTACACATTTTTTTGCATAGGTAAATTGGCATATATATTTAAAAATTGAAGTTTTGGTGTAAGATGTGTACATACATAGGAATAAGTGGTATATCTTCCTATTTAAAATTATGATCTGTACTATTTACGAAAATGAACTAACTAATGTTATGTCTCTTGCAGGTCCCGGTCTTGGAAGTAGAAGGCTTGGTCTGCGCACAATGGTTGCTATAGTCTTTGCGCGGTTGGTCCTAGTTCCTCCAGCAGGGCTTGCCATTGTTACATTTGCGGACAAGCTTGGGTTCATCCCAAAGGGTGACAAAATGTTTAAATTCGTTCTCCTGCTGCAGCACTCGATGCCCACTTCTGTCCTCTCTGGTAAAACATCTTTTATTCCACTTTTGTCTTTTTAGATTCAAATATTTGGCCTTCTTAACATTTGAAGTACCTCTTTGTATCAATTTTCTCTTTCCGTGGCATTTACATGCAAGCCACCCAATTCCTTTCTGTTTATATATCTAACACCTAAACTTTAATTTTTTACATTTAAACACCCCAAATCTTTCATATCACATAAACAATACCACCCCTTTAACTTTTAAAATGTGAAATACACCTTACCATGTAGAGGTAAGGTGGCATGTATGTAAAAATTGATATTTAGGCGTTAGATATGTAAATATATAGGCATTGAATCGAATGTATGTAAATTTTCCTTTTATATTTTAAAAATTTGTTTGTTTAGTTTTTTTTAAATAAGTAATTTATTTTAAAAACATCCTCCAAAAAGTTTTAAATGTTTTGATTGTTTAAAAAAAAAAACCTTCCACAACCAACCTGTTTTAATTCAAATCAAGACAGACAAAATTAGATTAAAATGAAAAATAAAAAACAAAAAAAGAGATAAAAGTGAATCCAGATGTCTCCAAAAAGTTTATCATTATTGCTTTAATACATGCCCCATCATCAGGGATCTTGTCTTTGCAACTAGGGCTGTTAACAATCAGATTTTGAGCTCGATTGGTGTTGGCTCGAGACTAGCTTAAATAGATTTACTTTCTCAAAATTGGCTCATGGCTCATTATATTCGATTTTGAGCTGAGCGGACTCGACATTGAATCAGGCTCGATCCGGCCTGAAATCCAAACAAGTTGGGCTCTAATTGAGTTATTTGGATATGTTTCAGCTCGGAATCGGCTCGATCCTTCTCAAAATTGAAACTAATTGGCTCAAATTGAGTTATTTGGATCCGTTTCAGGTTGAAATTGGCTTGAAATTGGCTCGTGACTCGTTATATTCACTTTTACATAGCATTACATATATAATTTTTTATAAATAAAAAATACTACGAGCCGTTCTCGAGTCAGCTCGAGCCGATTCATGTATGGCTCAAAATCGGCTAGAAAAAAATTTTATCCAAGATTTCAGCTCATAGCTCGGCTTGTTTATTTCGATCCGAGCCAAAATTTGAATCAATTAACGATCTACGAGCTAGATTCACAGCCCTATTTGCAGCCATTAAATCTCCCGCAATTCTACTGAGAATTTTAACATTTAGGTTCAAATTGCATGTTTTATTGATTATTGTTTACAGGCTTAATTTAGCAAATTTGCAAATTATACTTCTTGGATACGTATGGATTATCTAGGATACTTATATTTTATTCCCCAAAGCAAAACTTTTCAAAATGATCTTTTTTAATTCCTTAATTTGATATATCAAGATTCAATAACAGATTTTGGTTAAAATGATGTTTATATTTGAAAATTTCACTTCAATCCAGCCAATACAAATTTGTAATTTGTTCCCTTTTTTTAAATGGCTATTATATTGACTTTAGAAGTTATATAATTTAAATAAAAATTTTAATTCTGGAACGCTTGTTGGAAACACTATTTATTATTTAATTTATATTTCTTTGCCACATAAGCCTGATTTCTTATTTATTAAAGCTGTCATATACATAGCATATATTTTCTACATAAGTTTCCATAGTTTTTACTCCCAAACTTTAAACTGAAGATGGTTTGCAAAAGTATATTTCCATGTTGGTGTCTTCTTATTGTACACACTTTTAATCATATTTTCACCACACACTTCTGATCATATTTTCACCATATTGCTATTCAAGTTAAACGAACTACTAAGGGCATTTAGGTGCATACCCCCCAATTCTTATGTATTTACATATCCAATACCTAAACTTTGATTTTTACATTTATACCGCCCAATTCTTGTTCTTACATTTATTTCACAAAAAATACAACTATTCTAACTTAAAAAAAAATGAAATAAACCTTTTCATGCCTAGATAAGCTGGCATGTATGTAAAATTAAAGTGTCGGTGTTTGGTAAATATATGTAAATCTTTTTTATGGTATCCAATAGATCTATTACTAACTTGCAGGTGCTGTTGCGAACCTGCGAGGATGCGGGAAAGAGGCTGCAGCTGTTCTGTTCTGGGTTCACATATTTGCTGTTTTCTCCATGGCTGGATGGATTGTTCTATATCTAGCCATATTATTTTAGATTTTGGTATAGCCTATGTAATATAAAATTCTCACGCAGCTCATTTTGTTCTGAAGAAAAAAAATCAGGATATTCTGATGCTCGTTTTACCTCAGGATTGGGTAAATTTTACCACAGGTGTTCTTGATTTCATGCATCATTAGCTATCCATTAATATAACCAAACTAGTAGATAGTATAATTAAATCTTCAGACAAATAATTTAGCTGTATTGTGCTTATAAATGTCTGAGAGTTTAGTAGTAACTTCTAATAGTTTGATTGTATGTCTTAAATTGAATTGTATTGATTATTAGTTTTGTTTCATTGAAGAATGATGTGGCCTGTAGAATTAAGAATATGAATGATAAATTTGTTTTACTCTAATTAAATTTCTATCAGGATAGTCTTACATAAGTTTTTTGGGACTTTTGCATACATACCACAGAATTCTTAGTATTTACATTTCTAACATCTGAAGTATTATATTTACCTTTGTAACGTTTTGATGTAATAAACCTATGCATGAAAATGTGTATTTCACTTTTAAAAAGTAAGTGATAATGATAATTTTGATCAGATATTAAAATTTCGAGTGCAATGAATGTAGATGTTAAAAGTGGGTGTTAGATATATGAATACATAAGAATTGTGTGCTGTATTTTCATTTGTTGGTTTGAATTACTCTGCAGAAAGATTTGGAATTTATGGACTATACTGCTCAGAGAATTTGTATTGCTTTCTGTCTAACTGCCCCGATTCAACTGTATTTAAGTGCTGACCTGGAGCATAATATATTATGCGAAAACATTGCGGAAGTATAGAAATTTACAATAGCAATAAAACAAAATAGATTTACTTGGTTTGACATTAAGTTGATTCGCTTACGTTCACAGGTTGGAGATTTCACTAGTACTGGATGTGAGAAACAAAAAATCAGCTTGGGGTTATAATTTTCACACTTCTCACTATACAACCCTTCATAAGTTTTCAAGTCCCTTTTATAGAAGAATAGGGCATACAAGTAAATAAAGTTAAAAGACAGTTATCTTAATTATAATAAAAGCTATAAATACAACAGAATATACATCTATGATAGCTAATTTTAAGCCATTTTAGGTCCTACCATATAATTCTCAGTTCCCTTCTGTTTTTGTATCATGTTTTTGTACTAACTTCTCATGGATGGTTTCTTTATACTGCCATTATCTAGTGCTTATGATGCTTTTACTTATTTTTTTTCTTTTCTTTTGTCAAGGGTTGGGGTGTCAAATGAGCAACTAAATGCTTATTTAAGGTTTATTTAATCTATACTTTCTTGGCTGTCATCATGAGTTTTGAGTTAAGCTCAAAATGATGTTGAGATTTGATGGGTAGCATGTTGGGGTTTTGCTTCACATTTTGTTGCTTGCTTTTGCCTGAATAACAGAAGCTGCTTAATATGTTTTGGAAAAGGGGTATATTTACATGCACACCAAACAATTCTGATGCATTTATACCTTTCATATTTACATGCATAGCAATTAATCTTTAATATCATATCAAAATACCACCGTCGCCTATTTTTTTTATAGTGAAATACACATTTTCAAGTTAGGTTTATCACACTAATGTGTTATAAATGTAAATGTGAAAGTTTAGGTGTTATATATATAAATACATGAGAATTGTGGTATGTAAGTTTTCCCTTTGGAAATTAGTTGAGGAAAGGTTTGGCAGGATAAAAGAAGTTTAGTTAGTTTCTCATAAAAATATTTGTTATTGATATTAGTTTCTTATCTATGTTAATAATTAAATATTTGTTAGTTATTTATTTTATTAAATTTTTGAATTTGTCATAGTATTATATGAATTATTCATTCTTATTAATGTAACTCTTATTTCAGATGCTAACTATAGCTCTAATTTATTTACTTTTAAATATGGGTCTCATCTTTGTTGGTACCCCTGTTTTGAATGAGCTTTAGATTAAAATAATGTCTATCATCAATTATGCCATACATCTTAAGCTGTCTAAGAAAATATTAGCAAAATAAACTCGTTGCTTCTGAGTTTTGCATGGGAATGCAAGATAATTTAGGACATAATGTCATAATTTGGAGATAGTGAGGTTTTACATATCATCTAATGCATTTTATTTAGTCTACGGAAAAATATATTAAGTTTAGTTTTGGCTGAAGATTTTAAGATTTTTCTCTTCGATGGAAAAACATTTGAGCTTTGTCAAGTCACTTGGAGGAGTCATTTTTATTATGAGCTGACTGCTGCGCACGCACACACATATTCTGTCATTAGAAACTCATGTCATTGTCATTGTCAAATTTATATGTTTCTCATTTTATTATCTAGAAATATTATGAATGTATCGCATCATGTTATTTAATAACATTTTCAGTGTCCTCTCCCATTAAAACTAGTCTCATGAGTACTCAAAAAATACTTTGTCATCCCCAATTAAGTCAAAACATTTTAGTAAAAATTACATTATGTTTATTATGGTTGAGAAAGATGCCATCTACAAGATGAAATAAATTTAGTTTTCATATATTATCCCTCTCATTACTCTCAATATGTTCCATGCAGACAAGAATTATAGTTCTAGGTTTCATATATTATCCCTCTCATTACTCTCAATATGTATCATTCATATTCATTATTATTAATGATTTTAAGTTATTACTAATGAATTAAGGTTTTAGAGAAATATAATTTATGAGATACATAGATTTATTTAAAGGAAAACTCTTAGTTTTCATGGTGAGATCTTTAACCTTAAAGTGTCTATGTATTTTCATCATCTAACTCTACATGTGACTAAGCAATTTAATACCTCTTACAAGTATAATTAAAATTTACATTTATTTGTAATAGAACAACTCAAATGAGTCAATTTAATATAATGTTGTTAGATTAAAATAAAATAAGTTTAACTATAATTATATTATATTTAAAACATACTCAAATTATATTTGAAATATGCTTCAACCATCTTTAAATCATAATCAAAGCATATTCAAATCGTGTTGAACCATACTAAAGCCATGTTTCAAACTTTCTTTGTTAGAATCATTATTAAACATTTTTTAATTAAGTTTAAGTTATATTTAATTAAAGTTTGGGTCATATTTGACTCCATAAATTTTGTTTGAATTTTCTTTAAACCTTATTCGAATATTGCTTGAACTTTGTTTCAACTTTCAATCATGTTCAAACTTTATTAGAACCTTATTCAAATATTTCTTAAACATGGACAAAATTTCATTTGGACATTGCTTGAAGCTTGTTCAATTTTTGTGCAAAGTATGTTTAAATATTATTTAAAATTTTTTGCAATATTAAAATAAGATTAAAAAATGATTTGAACATCCTCATTAGGATAGTGTAAATAAATTTTAATTTAACTTTTCTAGTTAAATTATAACATGCAAATCATATAGTCATATGGAAGACTTCAAAAACCAAAATTTTTTTAGCATGTATTGAGTACAAAACATGTAAAACTTCATGCATTCTGCTAAAATTTAAAATTTATTTATCATTAAATTTTTATAAAATTACAAAGCGCTACTAAATCATAAGAAACCAAATTAATTATCTAAAAGCGTAATTGAAATGTTACTTTCAAAATTAAATTTTAAATATGTTTAAAATGAGAAAAAAATGATTAAAGATAAATTTTTTATGTAGTAAAAGTGTTACTTGAGGACAAGTAACAGTTAAGTTTGAGGGATTTTGATACCCAAAAAAAAAAAATTTACATATATATTTAAGGCTTATATTTGGTGATATTGCACTTTAAAAAAACATATTTTTATGTTTTATTGCGGGTATATTAAGTCTAAGCATTTAGAGCTTAAAAGATGCAAAAAGAGCGAAATTTGAAGTTAGAAATAGTGTTTTCAAAAAATTGAACTGGCACCTACGTGTCAGAACTAGCGCCTAGGCGCCAAAATACAGAGAAGAAGGGGCCTAGGCTCCAGATTTCGGTGACTAGGCGCCAGAGACGGTTATTTTTACAAATGCATTGAATTTGGACTGATATTGAAGAGGTGCTTATGGAGACTCTCGGGAAATTCATCCCTACATTATAAAAGGGTGTTTCTACGTCAGAATTGGGGGTGGCGTGAGTATCAAAAATTGTGTGTGAAGGTGTGAGAGTGTGACAGAGTTGTAAGAGGAGAGGGAAAGCGAGAGATTTCTTCTTCCTTACATTTCTAAGAGAGATTTAAGTGTTATTGTAAAGAGAGAAAGAGATTTAAAGGAACTTCAAGGGATTTGCTTAGGAAAGAGATCAAGTTAAGTTGTTTTACTCTTCTTTCTTGTTTTGTAAACTTATTATAATATATAAAATTCATATTTTGTTGTATCTTTCTCATGAATTCTGAGTAGAATTCTTTGTCCTTCTCTCTACAAAAAGAAATGGTCATGTGAAGAATCAAGATTGTTGTGTAATTTTAATTTCATATTTGTGATGATTCAAACATCGAACTTCATTTACTTTTCGATCTGGTCAATTGAATTGTTAAAATTTGTTGTGAAACATACAATCCAAGAGGGCTATGCTTTATTAAACAAAGTAAGAATCACATTCGATTTCATGGATGAGAATGCAGGTTATGGGGTTAATTGCAAATAAATAGGAAAATATTCATTGATGGGCGTAGACTTGGAAATTTTAGAGTGACAGACTAAAATCACCAATTTTCTCCAGGATTTTGGAAACTAAAGCGAGGTGTTAGCCTCTGGCGAGAGGAACATAAGAACTCTGGAGTGAGAGCCAGTATCTTCCCAGCCTAACCACATATTTAGGGACTAAACAATGAATTAGTCAATGTTCTTTTTCGCTTGTAAAAATGATAAAAAATATAATTGCTTCTATTTGACACAATACAATTTTGCTTCAATTTGATAATTCACTAACTACAATCTCGTTGTAATGGGGATGATGTTTTCTTCAATTTGAACTCTTCGTCACAAAACCTAGTTTAATTTTAGTAAATTTAACTTTGAAGTTTAGAGATTAGTGTTAAAAAGTAGTTTCTTTAGTGACATTAAACAAATTCTGACATGTTTTCTTACTTAAGTTTTCTATAGTTTAAATATTTTGCTTTTTCATGATTTTACTAACAAATTTTCACCTCCCTATGAGATTGATACTTAAGACTCCATTATAGTCTTTTAT